TATGCCTAATTTCCCAAGGTGGGATTTCTCACAGGTGTGCAGAGATAATCCCGTTCAGAGCTCCAAATCTCTAAAGTAAGACTTCTGCAAATGAATGGCAGGACCAGAAACTCATATATATTCTGTAGGAAATATAAAGAAAGATCCAAGGAGCCAAGCTCCCTTTGATAGATTCACTGCTACTGCTGGTTTCATTGCCTTTTTTTCTATTGGAACTGTTGGAGGAGAATGTATTTTCATCATTAGATCCTATTTTTCTCCTCTTAATATGTTTAATTTCTTCCCCGAACTAGCGCCTGCTTTTATTTCAAGGGATTTTAAGAATCGAATTACCCGGCCTTGGCGAAGGCCTTTAATAACCTTTACTTCCATCTGTGCATTACTGGTCATTCCTGAGTCTTGTGAGCCTGCTGCCGTTTGTGTCCAGGACAATGATGTCACTCCTGTACTAAAAAATGTGTATTTCTCTTCAGCTAAACTATAAAGGTCATCATTCTGATAAACTGAAAATACTAATGAAAGAGCAACTAATCACAAAACAAAGGTTTAAGACCTGTTATGCAAGTATCAGGGCTCCAGTGTGAGAGGCGAAGGTCTGTAAAAGTTACCGAGGAAAAAGCTGAGCAGGAAGGGTGATGTCTGGAGGTGTGAAAAACAGAGCTGAAGGGTTTGAAAAACATATTCCTAAAAATTTTCAGAGGTCCCAACCCATTCCTAATACTTGAGATAGTACTTCTCGTGGCTCCTGATCCTCCTCTCCTTCCACAGCTGCCCTAGAAAGTTCACAACTGGCAATTTTCGCTCGCCTTGACTCTCGTTGCTCCAACTTGAAAATCACATCTGGTTTAATATCAGAGAATTTGCTAATGGAAAGCAGCTCCTAACTGCTTGCACTTCAGAGATCCTGCACTGTCACCTTTAACACCTGAAGCTCGAGGCCCAAAACATTTAGTTATCTAGAAACTCAATTTCTAAAACTGAGAAATGACGTAGATGCTAAAGGTGAACACTGAGTTACCCCTGAAAGCTGTGCTTACCCACTGACAGTAAGTTGCTATAATTCTCCAGCATCACGTCCATGTACAGGATCCTCTGAGATGGGTCCAGCTGCTCCCATTCCTCCTGGGTGAAGTCCACGGTCACATCCGTGAATGAAACTGATCCCTGAAACGGCATATTGCTATTCACTCTGAAATGATGAACATTTGGTAATGCAGAAAGGGTAGATGAAAACTTACCATGTTGTTGTCAAACAGTCATTCACCATGGAAATTTACATATATACGTCTTCACTGTGTTTTGTTTCCAAAAAAGACTTTTATAGTAGTTAAAGCACGTGTTTGGATTCCTCTATATCTATACGGGCACTATCACACTTAACAGGTACGTAGGATTAATAAAAGTTTCTCCTCGAAAGGTGCGTATAGGAATACATATAATTACACATATAATACATATATATATAAACTATATGGTATTTAATGTTATCAGTACAATGATAATGCTCAGATATTGTTTTTGTGGTATCAAACTAGACAATATTAAAGAATAAACCTTTTGTGATACTGTGATTTATAAGAAATATATAAATAGTCATTCACAGTTTTTGGCTCATAGCTCCCAAACCCTTGGAATTACCGAGGCACTGAGAGTGATAAAGGTTTTTGTTCCGATAATAAGGTGACTTTGGGAAATTACCTAAGGGTGGGTTGAGTGTTAGTCACCAGGAGACCCAGCCCCTGACCTACAGGGAGAGGAGCGGGGCTGCAAATTGAATCAAATGACACTGGTCAATGATTTAATCATGACAACTCTATGACGAAGTCCCCATAAAAACCTAAAGGACAGGATTCCGAGAGCTTCTGCATTAGGAACACTCGGAGTGGCCGGGAGAGACGTGCCCTGGAGAGGACCGGCAGCTTCAGCGGTAAGTAACACAGAAACTCACTGTCCCCCGCGGGCGCTCTCTCCGCCTCCCTCTTTCAGCCCCACTCCTGCCCCCATCCCCTCCTCTCTCTCCTCTCTCCCCCTTCTCTTCCCCCCACTCTTGGTCCCACTTCTCTCTCTCCCTTCATCCTCCGGCCCTCCCCACTTTTCCTCTCTCGTCTGTCGCTCTGTTCTCCCTCTCTCCTCCCGTCTGTCTCCCTCATCTCTCTGCCTCTCTCGCCGCCCCCCAGCTTCTGCTAGCTCCTCTCTTTCTCGTTTCTTTCTCTCCTGCTCCCTCCACCCACCATCTCCTCTATTTCTCTCTCTCCTCTCACCTGTCTCTCATTCCCCCATCTCTCTCTCAATCTCCCCGTCTCTCTCCTCTCCTCTCCCCTCCCTTCTCTCCCTCTGACTCCTGCCCTTCTGTCTGTCTGTCTCTTCCCTCTCCTCTTTCCCGCTCTCTTCCCCGTCCTCTCTCATCCATCCTCTTCTCTCCTCCTTTTCCCCAATGCGCTTCTATTCTTAGTTTCGGGCATACAGCACACTGGGTGGACATTTACGTAGTTCATGAAACGATCCCCCAGTTACCCAGCACCCATCAGGCTCCACACGCAGCCACTACCGTTACAACACTGACTCACATTCTCTACGCTCCCCAACCCCGAGACCATCCTTCAACTACTGATTTGTTCCCCTCCAACCCTTCACCCCGTTCTTCCAGCCCCCCAAGCCCCCTCCCTTCTGGCAGTCACCAGAATGTCCCCGATATCTGTGGGTCTGTTTTCATTTCGTTTGTTCTTTTTGTTCCCTAGAGTCCACACATTAAGTGAAATCATATGGTATTTATCTTTCTCTGACTTATTTCACTCAGCATAATAACCTCTAGGTCCATCCATGTCGATGCAAATGGAAGGATTTTCTTTCTTTTTTTATGGCTGTCACTCCTCTCTGCATCTCTCACTCTTCCTCCCCCTCTCCCCCTGCCTCTGGTGCCGTCCTCCCCTCCCTTCTCTCTCTCTCCTGCTCCCCCCGTCGTCTCACCCCGGCCCCTCTCCACTCGTCTTTTTCTTACTCCTCTCTCCCGTCTTGATCCTGCTTCTCTCCCTTCTCTCCCCCTGCCCCCTCTCTCCTCCCCCAAGGCTGTTTCCCGCTTGCTCCTCCCTCTTTTGAACACCTTGCTCACTCCGCCCCCTCCCTCTGCCCTCACACTCCTTCTCTTTCCATCCTCCCCCCCATGTTTCTTGCTGGCTCGTCTCCCCCCACTCAGTTCAGTCTCGCTGGCCGCCTATTATCTCCCCTCTCGCTCCCCCTCCCCACCCTTTCTCTAGCTTGCTGCTCTTCTGACCCCCTCACTGCCCCCAACATCTCTCACTTCCCTATATCATATGCGTCCCCGATTCCGCTTCTCTGTCCTCTCTACCCCTCTCCTCTAGCTCCCCCTCCATTTCCTTTCTCCTCTCTCCCTCCCCCGTCTTCTCTTCCTCCTCCCTCTTCCCTCCCTTTCACTCCTCCAGCTCCTCTCATTTGTCTCCCTCCCTCTCCTCTCGCTCCTCACCTGAACTTCCTCTACACATCATCGTGTGCGCGCGCGCTCGCTCGCTCGCTCTCATCTGTATCTCCCTCTCCGTTCTTCCTCCCCCTTGCCCCCCACCCTCTCTCACTCCTCTGGTCTTCCCTTCACTCTTTTCCACCCCACCCCAATATGCCTCTTTAGGGGTACTGGTTATTTTAGGCTGGTTAACTTTAAGAACAGCAGACACGGGGAAAGCTCTGAAAACCAAGTAGAAAGTACTCTTCCTAAAAGGACATTTACACTTGTAAGGCAAATCTCCACTTTCAAGTGTCTTTTTTTCTTACTGTACCAGGAAGGGATATCTAAAAACCTCTAGAAAGTTTTCAACTGAGAAGGCCCAGACCTAAATCTGCATAATAACCTTACCCATTTACTGTGCTTTTCCTAGTAACCTCCCCAAACTGACTCCCCACCCCCAACACCTTTTGTCTTTAGCTGAAGGTGATGGCTTCCGCCATTTACATGTTGTTAAACTTTAATTTATATTTCTCCTGCTAATCTGCCTCATGTCAATTTGATCTGACCAGCCAGAAGAACCTAGAAAGGCAGATGAAAATTTTCCTTCCGTGACATCTGTAAGGGTGAAGCCATGTAGGGTCATGATCACTCGTGCTTTTGGAACCTTACACACCAGCCTACAAACCTAAACAGATTTGCCCTGGGCAACATTTTCACCCACTGTGATGGACTTGCCAAGTCATTACTAACTAAATGGGATCCAAATAATGCGCTCGTATCTTCTGATGTTACGCTGTAACAGAACGTGTCCTAACCTCAGAACAGACTGATGCTGTGATTTATAAGAAATATATACTTGGTCATTCTGATGCCCAAATATTTCTCATATATATTTGGTTTTGATCTACTGATCCTGGCTCACAGCTTGCGTGAAAGCCCCTGGAATTTCCTAAGTGTAGAGAGTGATAAAGATTTTTGTTATGGTAATGAAGTGACTTGGAAAGCACCTAAGATGGGGGGCCGGTCATCGGGAGACCATATGATTAGAGGGTTGGAACTTTCAGTCCTTTTCCTTGACCTCTGGGGAGGGGAGAGAGGCTGGAGGTTGAAACAATTGACAGTGGTCAATGATTTAATCAATCATAACTATATAATGAAGCCTCCATAAATACCTAAAGTTACAGGGTTCAGAGAACTTCTGGGCTGGTGAACAAGTGGAGGTGGATGGAGGTGCACCCTGGAGAGGCCACGGAAGCTCCGCACCCTCTGCCCTCACCTTGCCCGAGGCCCCTCTGGCATCTGGCTGCTCCTGTTATATCCTTTTACAGTACACCACTGACCCAGGAAATCAAATGTTTCTCTGCGTTTTGTGAGCTGCTCTAGCAAATTAAACCCAAAGGAGGAATCTGGGAATCTCTGATTTATAGCCAGTCAGAAGTACAGGTAACAAGTTGGACTTGAGGTTGACGTCCTGAGTTGGGGGGCAGGGGGAGTCGCTGGAACCTCCAGTGTGTAGTCAGTCAGTTGGTGAGAAGCACAGGTTAACGACGTGGGCTTGCAGCCAGCATCTGAAGTTCGGGAGCCGGGCCAGTTTTGTAGAACTGAACCCTTAGCCTATGGGATCTTATTCTATTTTCAGGTAGACACTGTCGGAATCGAGCTGAGTTCTGACACGCTTGCTGGTGTCTGAGAACTGCTTGTTGGTTTGGGGAAGCGTGCGTGCACACATACACACGACATAATAAAGTCTAGGAATCCTTTTCAGTTTTGACTATTTAAAGGCAGAAGATGAACTTCCAATTATAAAATAAAATGTCAGGCATAATTAAAGATCCTCCCACTATATCCAAGCAATAAAAATGGCAGAAAAGCAAAAATAAGCAGGAATTCATCAAATTAAAAAGCTTCTGCACAGCAAAGGAAACTAACAAAACTCAAAAAGAGTTGACCAAATGGGAGAAAATATTTGCAAATTGTGTTAAGGGGTTAATAACCAAAATATATTTTTAAAACTTATACAACTCAATAGCAAAAAAACCAAACAACCCAATTAAAGAGGAGAGGATCTGAACAGACATTTTCCCAAAGACATAGATACATACAGGTGGCCGACAGGTACATGAAAAGGTATTCAACACTGTCAATCAGGGCATGCAAATCAAAACCACGATACGGTATATCAAACATCAGAATGGCTATTATCGAAAAGACAGAAAGTGTTGGCAAGCACGTGGAGAAAAGAATGTACACTGTTGGTGGGAATGTTTACTGTGCAATCACTATGGCAAAACACTATGGAGGCTTCTCAAAAATTTATGACTAGAACTACCCTGTGATCCCACAATCCCACCTCTGGGTATTTAACCAAAGCAAATAAAAACACCAATTCGAAAAGATATACACACACCCATGTTCACTGCAGTGTTATTTAAAATTTCCCAGATATGGAAACAACCTAAGTACCCATCAATGGATAAAAGAAATGAGGTATATATACACAACAGAATATTATTCAGCCATGAAAAAAAAAATTGCCATTTGCGACAATATGGATGGACCTCGAGGGCATTATGCGAAATAAGTCAGAGAGAGAGAAATACTATATTATCTCACTCATGTGTGAAATCAAACAAACAAACTGAGCTCATAGAACAGACTGGTGGTTGCGGCGGGTGGAGGGAGTTAAAAGGTATAAAATAAACTTTCC